ATTTTCTCCGGCTAGTTGCTATCAAAACCGGCTAAATCTAGCCGGAAAACGGATAAAATGGCAACGCTGCTCGCTTGCCCGTAGGGGCAAAAAAGCCCATACGGGCAAAAGTGCCCATGTCTGCCATATGGAATACCAATCCCTTTCGGTGTCATGAGCTTTACCGATAGTCTTATTTCCATCTGTGAGATCTCTGCGAAGCATGCGTAATCTTTTTGTAGGATCTTGCAACTACAACATTGGTGCGATGCGTATGCCAATAACAGTTCTTATAGAGCACAGAAGTGCGTTTTCTGTTATAGGAGGGCCAAGAATCCTCGGTGTCCCACAGGATGAAAAGTTTTCCGGTACATTGCTAAATGAGTCGAGCGATCTCTTAAGTATCTTTTAAATGAAGCAATTGATATACCTACCAGTGTTGCCGTTTTAGCCCTTTGGTGGCTAGATTTAGCTACCTTTTTTTGGCCACATAAATTTAAAATTGCCCCTAGCCCTTTTTTATCCCTTTGGAGAATTTATTCACACTTGGCATGAAAAAGTTGTATATGCTTAATTGGTGTTTTTTTTTGCATTTAAGCAAGAGATGCATTTTTTAACTAAGAAAGACTGATATATATACATATATGTATTGTATGTTTCTTACGCTTTTATACATACATACTGTAAAAGTGTTGGGGCTGTTAACTTATCTGTTAACGATTTAACTATAGTTTAAAAAAGATAAGTTCACGAACCTTAATATGCCAAATTTGTTAAATGACCCATCGAGTCGATTGACCGTGTATGTTCTTGTGGTGTGATTGTACCAGCATGCTGGGGCCGTGCGTGGTAAAATTAGCTCAATTTTCTAAATAAAAAGTATTTTGGCGGAAATTTCTTGCACTATCTGAGTCAGCGCCGTGTTTGTGGAAGACTACGTTAAAGATGTTGCAGTTGTTAATTACAAAAAAAAAAAACAATGTTTAACAAAATGCTAGAAAAAGTATGAAATTTCGGCTCTAATCATTTCGATCTTTCCTCGACCTCATTTGTAAAGAAATAAATATTGTACCAGCATGTTGGTAAGTTATATGCTTCGAGCCTAATGGTACAATCACTTGATGGAACTAGCAATATTTCCCCTTTTATACAAAAAGGTTTTTGGTTGGATAAAATATTAACTTTTTTATGTTCGCGTGTATACCTATATATGTATATGTAAGTAAAAAATTTTAGCTACCATTTTTAGCCACAACGAATTTTTTAGCTCTTTTTAGCCCTTTTTTTAAAGGAATTTGTCTACCTCTATAAATTATGCGCGGCAACACTGATACCTACGGCGATCTTTCCTTGTTAACTCACCACTTTTACAATTCGTGGTAAAATTTATGAACTGACTTCTGGGTAGATGCAAGACCGCATGATCGTGCATGAGGGTGTCAGAAAAATTTAACCCCATCCTTCATTTAGACATCTGAAAACTAAATTCGTATAACTTAAACATAGGGCCAAAGCAGACCAACCACGCGGGATTTCTATACATTTCGGCTGCAGCGCCATCCATTGCCATAAAATGAATACGTGTTATGAATTTCAACCTTAACTCCAGCGGCACTAATCGGGTAAATTTTTATCAAAAGAATTTTCCATCATACAGGTACATAGCTCGCATTTAAAATTTGAACGAAATCGGTCAATAAATACGATTTTTATAAATAACTCTACTCCAGCACCACCTAGCGAGTTTTCTAGTAGCATGTAATTGGACCATATATGTATGTAAGATAACCTCCGACAATCTGACGGAGCTCTATTCAGTGGTTTTTGAGTTTAATCCGAACAACGACAACGGCTATCATTTTATGCAAATAGGTATATAGATAGGACAGTTTATAGCGAAACTCGTAAAAGCAAAGCTCCATTCTAGAAGAAAATGGTTCCCAATCGAATGATTCTTGCGCGTTTACGTAAATGTATATCGATCCAGCCTTTCCAATAATTACCACTTTTCGCCATAACTGCGGTATTGATAACGTATGGTAGCTGTGTAGAATTTCAGGACGTTAGCGTAAGCAGTTCCGGCGATAAGCTACATATATGAGAAGTTCAGTTTGTATGGAAGGAAGGAGCCACGCCCCCTTTCCCAATGCATTTGCAATATATTTATGCATGAGTGCTAAGTTTCAGTTCCCCAGCGTAATTTATAATAATTTTAGGAATATCCCGAGCTACATACCGAATAAATTTTTGGTCAGAATATTTATTTTCATTATTTAGTAGTTTAGTGAAATACATTGTAAAGAGAACTGTATGAAATTGTAAAACGTGACTCTCAGATTTCTTAATTTTTTGGCAACAACAACGAAATATTTTAATTTTTTGTAGCGAAAAACCTCCCACACAGAAATAAAAAAAATTAAGTTTGTGGTTATATCAAGACGAAATCTTGAGAACGGTCCGTTGCTAACTATAAATATAACAACGACGCACTGGAAAAAGTTAATTCGTTCAAATACCTAGGAATAATGATCGACGATAAACTAAAACAAAAAAAATGGATTCTATATTTTCAATTAGAGCTCTAGCAATATGTACATCGGTGAAAACTGCATTTAATTCCATACATTAGCTTTTGCGTGATGCGCTTACAAACATACAGACAAACATACCGAAAGTTTAGATTTGGCTTCTGTTGATCTAATAAACCCCCTATTAATTTTTCTTTAACATCTATTATGTACAGATATCGGCCTGTTGCAATTTTATTATTCTCAAGTACTCTCGTTTGATACCCATACGGCCACACTTAGTTTATATTATAAATTTAACTGAATTAAAGTTTTCAAATAAGTGGCAAACCGCTTCAAGAATATTTTCAAAAGTAAGCTTCCTAATCCTCTTTAGTTTAATATTCGTATTGCAATATTTCATTTAATTTACAAATTTTAATAAATACCATTTTTCAATCAGTTGGCAAACCCCCTAAAAATATTTTCAGCATTAAAATTTCCTATCATCTTTAGTTTGATGCCAATATTGCAGTATTTAATTTATGCTATCAATTAAATTAAATTAAAGTTTTCAAATAGGTGGCAACCTTCCACAAAAATATTTTCAGCTGTAAGCCTTTGTAAATTTCTTTCTTTTGACAGCCATATTGCAGTATTCACTTTACTGTATCGATTGACCTAAACTGAAATTTTAAACACAGGTGACAACTCTTTAATTTTTTCTTCTATATTGGAAGCTAGATCTCTAGCGATACATCGGTGAAAACTGCATTCAATTCCATGTTTTCGACTGATGTGCGTACAAATATACAGACAGTGATTCAAAAATTCGAAAAATTGTTCATTTGGCTTCTGTAGCTTTAATAAAAACACACCATATTCATTTTTCTTTAATATCTATAAGGTACAGACATCACCTGTTACAGTTTTATTATATGCATATCTAGATGTAGATATAGATTTCATTTATTTTATCAATTTAATACAATAAAATTTTTCAAACAGGTGGCAGCCCTCCCTAAAAATAATTTCGGCAATAAAATTTCCTAAACCCCTTCAGTTTGATACCCATATGCAATATTAATTTTATCTTATAAATTTAATTAAATGTAAATTTTCAAATAGGTGGCAACTCCAAAGAAATATTTTTGCCTGTAAGCCTTCTTCTGCCTCTTTCTTTTGACGCCCATATTGCAATATTAATTTTTTATTATCAATTTACTTAAACTCCAATTTTCAAACAGGTGGCAACTCTCTAATTTTTTCTTCCTATATTTTAAGTTAGACCTCAAATCTTCAAACCTTCAAATCCATGCATTCGTTTTCGAGTGATGCGCGAACAAACATACAGACAGACAGACAGACAGACGGACAGACAAAAATTCTAAAAATGGTTGATTTGGCTTCTGGTGCTCTAATAAAGACCCCCCACATTAATTTTTCTTTAATATCTATAATGTACAGACATCCATGATGCAAGGCAACTCTCGCTCTAATTCCGCCATATTGACTGCCTTAGGTGAGACAGTGTTACTTCTTTAACAATTCTTTACCTAATAATATAGTTGAATATTTTTTTATTTTTTCTCAGTATACACATTTTTTTCTAAAAAAGGTATTTTATCTTATTTTACTTCATTTCATTACGAATATACTATAAAAAAGCAAATTTTGTTTAGGAAAAAATGTGAAATTTTATATTTTTCCCCCAAATGGGGCTTAATTTATTGTATATATATATATTTATATGTATACATAACGGTCCAAAGCTCCTGTTTATTTCTAAATCACCTGAAAAGCTCAAATCCAGGGTTCGGATTTGCCACATTTTAGCCCCTCGCTCGCTCGTTAGTTTGCTCTGAGCTAGCGCAACTCACGAGCAACACGCAGGGCTGTTTGCAAATGAGCGCTCGTTAAGTACGAGCTCACGCGCTGAGCAGCCAGCGAGCGAGTAAGCAAACGAGGGCAGCGCAAGAGTAGAGCGGCAAGCAGTTTGATCTGTAATAATGTAATTTTATTGCAAGTATCGACTTAGCACATGTGCTTTTCGTGCTGAGAGAAAAAGAACAACACATAAGCAATACACAAAAGCAAAATGTTAAGTAGTTGCCATCGCACTTTTAGTGTAGTGATTGATTCTGAACATTCCCGCCCACCTCGTCCATTGTGGACGAAAAAAGGAGCTCACCGTGCGGCCGCCCACCATATGTCTCATCGGTGCCAGCTTCTATTGGTAGGATAACCAATTTTGAGATGGCTCGCTTGATCAAAGACTATTTGCTGCGAATTGTTGCCACCCTAACAATCCCATCATCACCAGCGTGCACTTCTTCGGTCCGGCCCAAGAGCCATTGAGTGGGGGGTGCGCGTTCATCGCGAATCAGAACCAGATCTCCAATTTTTAAATTAGACTTGGTTTGTTGCCATTTGTGACGCACTTGCAGTTCGTGTAGGTATTCCGCACTCCACCTTTTCCAAAAATTTTGCTGCATCTGTTGGAGTTGCTTCCGTTTAGTCGAGAAGGTTCGGCTCGGGCGTGGCGGCTAACGGGCCACCAACCAAAAAATGCCCAGGAGTTAGCGCCGTCAGATCCGAAGGGTCGTCGGAAAGAGCAGATATCGGCCTGGAATTTAAAACGGCCTCAATTTGCTTCAAGATGGTGTAAAATTCCTCAAAGGTCAGCATTGATTCACCTATGACTCGATGTAGATGGTGTTTCATGCTCTTTATGCCGGCTTCCCAAATACCCCCAAAATTTGGGGATCCTGGAGGTATAAAATGCCATGATACGTTGTGTAGTGCCACCGAACGAGCACCAGTCTCTATTTGAGCGCGAAAGGCGACAAAGTTTTCCCTCAGAACTGTGTTAGCACCGACAAAAATTGTTGCACAGTCACTATAAATATCGGAGCTATAGCCGCGTTGGGAGAAAAAACGTCGAAGTGCTGCTAAGAACGCGTCGGTTGTCATATCACTGACCAATTCCAAATGTATAGCACGAGTGCTCAAGCATATGAATAGTGCCACATAACTTTTGAAGCTGCGGCTACCAGCCCGCAGTGCTTGAAAGGAGCAGCAGCATTGCACCGGTGTGTAGGTAGATTCCCCATTATCTGGTTGGAACCTACAGCTCTCTGTCGAAAACATTTAATGCACCGATGGATAAAGCTTTTTATGGCTGACCGAGCGTCGATTAGCCAGTATCGTCTGCGTAGAGCGTGCAGAGTTGCTTGTGTGCCGCCATGGAGCGTGGCTTCATGCGCCTGCGCGATAAGAAGCTTGCTAAGTTGACTGTCTTTTGGCAAGATGATAGGGAAGCGTTCATAGAAAGGTAAACTGGCGTTCTTCAGCCGTCCATTTAAGCGCAAAAGTCCATCATCATCCAGCACTGGGTTGAGCTTTGGGAGTTTGCTCTTTGCATTGAGTCCTCTTTTCTGCCGGAGACTGGAGATTTCATTAATTCATTTCATTTCAAAAATGTATGTTTTGAACGTTTCTTATCCAATATTTCAACGCCTTAGCTCTCTCTGCAGCAGTGCAAAAGTCAGTGTTCTCATGGGGTCTTCTCAATGCTGCACATACAAAACGCTGGCACCAAGCAGTGACGGCTAGTAGGTTTTGGATACACGAGTATTTTTGAAGAATCCAGTAATCAGGCTTAGGAACTGATATTAGTGACACAATGCTAAGATCGTCGTTCCCAGCCGCCTGGGTGCTTGTTGGTTCAATCACGATGCTTGCTGGCCAATAGCTTTAGTCCTTTTGTAGCCATGTGGGGCCCGCCCACCATATGCTAACGCCTTCAAGTTGCGAAGGGTAAATGCCACGAGACGCGACATCAGCCGGATTGCATTTAGTGGGCACGTACCGCCACGCGTCTACATTTGTCAGCTCCTGAATCTTTGCTATCCGGTTGGCAACATACTGCTTATGCTGTCCAGGATTGGACCGAATCCAGCTGATCACTGTCTTAGAATCACACCAGTACCATGTGTGAGTAGATTTAAGCTGCAGAGTTTCAAGAATTTTGCAGGTTAAAGTACTCGCAAGCACTGCTCCATTTAGTTCCAAACAGGGTATGGTTCGTTTCTTTAACGGTGCCACCTTGGTCTTCGCCATGATAATAGATACTTTTATTTCACCGTTCAACTGCGTCACCCGTAGATACGCGACGGCTGCTGATGACGCGTCACAGAATACGTGCAGCTGAGCTTCTTCTATGTCGTCAGCTGTGAAAAGCCACCTCGGAATTTTTACGTTTTCTAACAGTGGCATCTCATCACGGAATTTTATCCATTCACTCTGGTAAGGTTCGGGAATCGGGTCATCCCACGTACATCCGGTACGCCAAAGATCTTGGCACATACGCTTGCCAGTGATGATGATAGGAGCCAGCAAGCAAGCAGGATCATAAATTTTTGCAACGTCGGAAAGCTGCTGTCTTTTAGTGATTGCTACGGAAACTACGCTCACTTTTACCTTGTACCCAATATAGTCATCCTGGCATGACCAATAAATTCCCAGTGCTTTAGTATCTTGGTCCGAATTAAGCGCACATATTTTATTGGCATTTGTTCCTTGAATTTTTTGAAGAAAATCTCCGGAATTGGAATTCCATTTTCGCAGTGTAAATCCGCCGCACTGTAGTAAAGTCTGTAATTGCTGTTGTAATTCAACTGCCTTATCAACAGAGCTAGCGCCGCTAAAACAGTCATCTACGTAAAAACATTCCTTTAAAACATCTGCTGCTTCTGGAAATTCTGTACCCTCATCTATCGCCAAAGTATGGAGAACTTTAATGGTTAAGTAAGGCGAACAGTTGAGTCCGTAAGTTACTGTAAGTAAGCGATATAGGCAAGGCTGGCCATGTTCATCTTTCCAAAAGATTCGTTGCATATCTGCGTCCTTATGGTCAACCAAGATTTGTCGGAAACATTTTTCGATGTCGGCCATAAATGCGATCTTGTGCCATCGCCACTTCAATATAATTGCGGATAAATCGTTTTGGAGCTTTGGTCCAACAAGCAAGCAGTCGTTTAGTGACCTACCACATTTCGTTTCACGTGATGTGTTAAAACGGTTCGTAGTTTTGTAGTTGAGCTTGAGCCTTTATAAACACCGTGGTGGGGAATATAGCAGACAGGCTGCGGCTCAAAGTCCTCGCAAACAGGTTGCATGTAACCGAGTTGGAGATATTCGGACATAAACTCATCATAGAGTGTTTTAAAAGAAATATCATTGTTCAGGCGTTTGTTCTGATAATGATAAAGCTTTTCAGCATCATATTTAGTATCTGCAAGCACAGACAAGTCAGCTGATGGTTTAAATGGGTAGCGTACTATATAGCGACCGGATCCGGTCCGGCGAGTTGTACGTTCGAAGAAGTTTTCGCAGTAAATCTCATCAAGAGTGAGTTTAGATGACGATTCGCCATCTTCACACGCGTTAAAAGCGCAAAGAGCTTTAACTAACTCGTTGAGCTCGATTGCTGTTGCCGCACAAAATCTTGTGAGTAGTGGGGCGATATATTCAGTACAACGTCCATGAATGACCCAACCTAAGTGTGTATGCTGTGCCACGGAGGCGCTCGTGAATGACTACTTTAGTTCACCGCAGAGCAAGTGTCCGTAAATGTCAGCTCCTAAAATTACGTCTATCGGACCAGGCTCATAGAATCTAGGATCTGCAAGATTCAGATTTAAAAGGTCAGTAAAAAGCGTAGGATCCAAGCGAGCGCCTGGTAACTGTTGACTTAAACGTGGTAAAACTAACGCTGTACACCCAATGTTGAAACCTGGGTCGCAGATAGAGCTAACGTCGAATTCCACTAAGCCTGAAGAGACTGCAGCATTTGTACATCCTATTCCAGTTACCGGGACCTGCAAGCGTCTACGTTTAAGGTGTAATTGTTGCGCCGCAAACTCCGTAATAAAAGACGCCTGAGATCCGCTGTCCAAAAGTGCTCTGAGTTGTAGACAGTAGCCATTTTCTGAACGTACATTTATCTGAGCTGTAGCGAGCACTACATGGTCCTGTGATGTTGTTATTGTTGTGTCTTCATCGTAGGCACGAGCGTGGTGCGTTGCAATACTGATCGGATGCATGCCGTCATGTAACATAGTATGGTGTTTTTGATTAAATTTTTTGTCAGGGGTATGCAGATGTACATTCGTTAAACCAATGACCAGCCTTTAGGTAATTCTAGCATAATTTATTCTTTTGAACGAAGTTTAGCTTAAGTGCTGGTGAAAGTTTTCGGAATTCAGGGCAAAACATAAGAATGTGTTTACCTGAACAACTGCTGCATCGAGTGACGCCGCTAAGATGGCTGCGCACGGGTAGTGCTTGAGTTACCTTAGGTCCAAAATCCTTTTGTTTTTGCTTTGAGGTTGCGCCCATTGACTCAAGGCCTTGTACACGACTCTCCAGAAACTTCACAAGCTCATTGTAAGTTGGAATATGATTTGGCGATTCGAGTGAGATTTCCCAATCTCTGGCAGTGCTGGGATCAAGGTTTTCAGTCACTAATACCACCAGCCAGTCATCCCATTTAGAGGTTGGACACTCCAAATGCTCAAGCGCCCGAATGGCTTCAGAAACGCCGTTCAAACGATTCGGTTTGAGAGTAAGGAATATTAAGGATTTCTTTTAAGTACATCTTCACTAATCGCCTTTTGCTATCGTAGCGCTGGCATAAAGTATCCCATGCAATGAAGAAGTTGCTGTCAATCACAGAGATATTCTTCAGCAGAGTTTCTGCTTCGCCATTCGTACTGATCTTTAGGTAATGCAAGCGCTGCACATTCGACAAAGACTTGTCACCAATTACCAACGTCGTAAACATGTCTTTAAATTGCAACCAGCCCTGCAGCTTGCCATCGAACTTAGGGAGTTCAATTTTAGGCAAAATTGATATCGCGCACGCTGAGGAGTGCGGAAGTCGAACGGATGTCGTAGCATGCCCAGCGATAGACAACTGCTCGATGGAGTCGTTAAGTTCACCGACAGCTTCGCAATAAGCAGTTTCTATTGCATCGAAATGACCATCTGCTAGCACATTTGTCAACTGATTCTCGCTTTCCTCAGTAGGCTCGATATTGCGAACTTCATCATAATTCGCACTGTATTTGGCCCAGTAGTCTTCCAGCCAGTGCTTCCGCGCGACGAGTAGCCTTTTGTCTGCTTTGTCTTGGATACCTTATTGGTGTTAATGGAGAAGTGTTGTATATATTTAGCTAGGGCTTCTTCTTTCTTGAGCGCCATAACTGCTTGCCTCGGTGTGAGGTTATGTAGCCAAATTTAATGTTAGATTTGATAGCCTTGTTTAAACAATAAGTAAGCAGTTTGATCTGTAATAATGTAATTTTATTGCAAGTATCGACTTAGCACATGTGCTTTTCGTGCTGAGAGAAAAAGAACAAGACATAAGCAATAGGAATGACAGTAGATTAGAATAACACAAAAGCAAAATGTTAAGGAGTTGCCATCGCACTTTTAGTGTAGTGATTGATTCTGAACAATACTTATAAGTGAATCTTTTCGCTTACAGGTTCCTATTCGCTTTTGGTTTATGCCTGTCCAAGTGCGGCGCCACTAACCACGTTAGCGTTCTAAACGCACACACACACACACACGTAAGTTTCATTTATATATTTACTTATAAAATATTTATTATTTTGCAAGATTCTTATAAATGAATCTTTTCGCTTACAGGTTCCTATTCGCTTCTGGTTTTTGCCTGTCCAAGTGCAGCAGCACCCTTTCGTAAGTGCTTACTTTATGCACATATGTACTTTTTTTCTACACAACAACAACAACAACAACTGTAACAGATACTATTCATAAAATCGCCACAACCGCGTAGACTACCCCACTACAATTTTAATCGAATTTTCTTCAACGACACAACATCAGCCTTCTTATACATATATTTACATAAACATTTTTGTACATTTTTTTATTGTAAGGATTTTTTTATAATTAAGCCATATAAAAAATTAAGACAATGGTTTTACGACAATAAAAACAAATTGTAAAGTAATGTTAAAACTTGTATATGTTAGCAAAAAATTCCAGAAACTCTATACTTTAAAATTACAAAAACGAGTGTTATTCCGAGCCTGATTGTTACATACCATAAATAAACACTAATGCCCTTATTCATAAAAAATAAAGTTGTTTTATAAAAGGCTTATAAATGGAAAAATGTATGAAAAGGTTAATAAAGCTCTTTAAACTTACTTTATTTTTTATGAATAAGGGCATAAGACTTTTTGCTTATGATAAAAATTAATAAATAAACATTAAGACTTTTTGCATAAACAAATTAGTATATTTAAAGTGCTTTTTCATAAAAATTGTCGATATGCATATAAAGCGGTTAAAATATTCTTTGTTGTTTATGAATTTGAGTGTAAGACTTTTTCTTTAAGTTTAAAGAAAGATTTAGAAATATAAACATTAATAGCCTTATTAATAAAAAATAAAGTAGGATTAAAGAGCTTTATAAAGAGAGGTTTTCATCCATTTTCCAATTAATTAAAGCTATTTAAACCTACTTTTATTTTACGATTTTTGCTTGGATTTAAAAGATTTAATAAAGACAAAACATTTAACCTCTCTAACAAGCTTTTTTCCTTAATGATTTTCGGGAACTTTTTTTTAATAAAAACATGTATGACTTCTTATAATGCTCTTGAATTAAATATTTAAATAGGCCTTCTATGCCAAAAGCAAGTTGTGTCTTGTGCCACAAGACGTGGACACAAGAAGGCATACGATTCGTGCACGTCCCAAAGGAAGAAATTAAAAGAAACAAATGGATTGAGTCCTGCGGCACCTTTTTGAACCCTGGCGAGAAAATATGTACTCTTCATTTTTCGGCAATGGATTTTGAGGCCGGGCCTGACCGCAAAAGAGCTAGACTGTCCAGTGATGCTATTTCAATGCCTGTAGAAGCATTATACGATTGGAATGAGCCTGCACAACTCGAATTTCCAGTTAAGGATGCTTCTACACAGACTGAGTAAAAACAAATTTCAATTGATAAAAATTAATAGCCTTATTCATAAAAAATAAAGTAGCTTAACAAAAGGTTTATAAACTGAAAAATGTATGGAAATAAACCTACTTTAATTTTTTATAAATGAGGCCGTAAGTTTAAGAAAAGTTTATTTTGATTTAGAAATTACTCTGATTGCCGAGTGGCAGCTCTTGAAGAAGAATTGGCCAGGCTTAAAGCAAGAGTCGTGGAGTTGGAGAACTTCAAGTCAAACGTCAGCTCAATTTTTACTGATAGGCAGGTACGGCAGTTAGAAAATAACGGGAAAAAGCATCACTGGACTTGGGACGATATGGCATCCGCAATAGCTTTGCATTCGGCTGGAGCAAAAGCATACAACCATTTGTATAACAAAGACTTTCCCTTGCCGTGCCCGTCCACTGTTGCTTAATGGTTGCAGAAGCTGAAATTTGAAGATGGCATTTTAAGTTTTTCCCTGAGCGTTATGCGGAGCGCAAACGATGGTCCATTAGCTGACAGGATCTGCATTCTTAGCTTCGACGAAATGAGCGTAGAATCGGTTTATGAATATGATCCTCTCACCGATAGTGTGCGAAAACCTGCTACAAATGTTCAGGTTATGATTGTGCGGGGCCTTAAGGGTTCATGGAAGCAGCCCATATTTAGTGCATACGATTGTAAAATGACGAAGTGCATAATACGAAGTGGATAATGCAATTACGAAATTGCATGACATTGGCTACCCAGTAGTGGGAATTGTTTCCGATATGGGTACTGGAAATGTGGCTCTATGGAATGAGCTGAATGTATCGTGTGGTATGGGAATTTGGTTAGAAATTTAAACTAAGAGTTATATTTTGAAGATTTTTATTTCTATGTAGAACAAACGTGGTTCGAGCATCCAATAACACACGAAAAAGTTTTTGTGTTCGCAGATGTTCCTCATCTGTTGAAGTTGTTGCGCAACCACTACTTAGATGAAGGCTTTTTATATAAAGGGACACCTTTGATGACAAAAACGATTGCTAGCTGTTGACGTACACTTCAGGATCTGATGCTTATATTGTGCACAAGCTCACGGAGTCACATTTAACGGTGCATCATGAGGGCGGCAGAAAGTAAAGCCAGCAGTACAGTTGTTTTCGCACACCACAGCAAGTGCCATTCGCAGATGTTACACATTGGGATTGAATTTATTCAATCCATTGGAGACTGTCGAATTCATCGACACTTATCAATGATTGGTTTGACATGTTCAACAGGAAGCTTACCAATTCATAAAACATTCCTTCCAGAAAACCATATGGACAGGAGTTGTGTCAGCAAATGGAAATAATTGCAAGGATGGATGCGTTGAACCGGCAAACGCGTGTGTACGGGCGGAATTCACTGCTCCCCTTTCAAAAGGGCATATTTATTAGCAACAAGTCTCTGGCAGATTTATATTGGTATATTCAGAAGAAGTATGGCCTTCAATACATCCTGACTTATTGATTAAATCAGGATGTACTCGAGCATTTCTTTGAGGCAATGCGCGCGAAGGGTGGTCTGCATGATAACCCCAGTCCCATGCAATTTAAATATAGGTTGCGAAGATACTTGCTAGGTAAACTAGCCAATCCCCCGAGTATCACTATTAGTTTTTAAATTACTTAATAATTTTTTACATTAACAGCTCGTGGTACTGCTGCATTAGCCGCTCGCGGTAATGTGGAAGCTGACGAAACGGAGTGGCTTCGTCTTAGCGATACTTCGTTGGAAACATTGCAACGTTTTCTAACTGAAGATGAGGTGGTTTCGGAGGACTTTTCATTTCCGAGCGAGTTCGAAGACAAAAATTTTGAAAGTCTCCACGAGGATGCTCTGGAGTATATTGCCGGCTACATCATTCGCAAGCTCAAATTGAGGGATCCAATGAGAGCTCTTTCACATGGGTTGACACAGTTTTCAGAGGAGCATTAATTAAACCAAGTACTGATTTTTTAAATAAAATCAAATTAATGGAAACAGCGTTTAATAAACTCAATAGAAACAAGATACACGACGGTCCGTTCTTCACAAAAACCCTTCTTTCCTGCACTGAAAATATTGCTCTCGACGAAGATGTGAGACAATTTTTTGTTAAATGCCGAATGCACTTCCGCATCAAGCATTTCAACAAAAACATGCGAAAAAAAAGACTTAACCACAAATAACAAAATCCAACTTTTTTAATCGGAAGTCCATTTTTTTCAAGTAAGCTTTTTTCGTCGTAGAAAATTGTATAAAGCTTTCAAAACATAAAACTTGTAATTAATTAAATACATATATGTATGTATTAATTGCCATATGCTTATAATTAATTTATGGATTTTATATCTATTTACAGGTATCTTCTATAACGAATTCTTATGTAAATATGAATGTGATTTTGTGTTCAAAAAGCAATAAAAGTGGTTTTTCTCGATAGAGTTTCCACTATAACCAAGTTGTTTTATTTATTGTTTTGGTACAGGTTTGACAAAAAAATTTATCAGCTTGGTAAAATCTCAAACTACTTATATTTAAATTAATTTACATAAACAACATAAAATCTTAAAAATTGTAAAACTAGGAAGCAGTAAAATCCAAATAATTATTTTTTTTTATCTTATATACAGATCGCAGTTTTAGCACTGATAACAAGCACAATAGCTTAATAAAGCGTGCTTACGTTTTGGTCAGTATTTCCATTAAAGCATGAAATATATTCAAAACTCGCATTAAATTAATAATACGCATTTTACTGCAAATTCCATCCTTTGTCCATTTTTTCTACTATTTTCAGAAAGGGCGATCACATTCTTCCCCTTTCTCCCTACTTCCAAAATACAAATCTGGATAAAGGAGTGTCAAATATGAGCTGTCACAATTTACATAACCTTGTATTATTGGATCATGATGGAGTAGTATATTTTCTGTTTCATTCTCATATAAAGAACGCAACAGTTTCTCAGGTTTTAGGGCAACGCAAAGGTAGAGTTCCCATATAAAAGGGCAGAACTTTTTTTGAGAAAAGAAAACGCTATAAGAATTTCGAGTAAAGGATTGTATGCACGCATGCAGATATGTATATACATACATATGTACAGGGGCGCACCCAGGAATATATTTTAGGGGGGGTTTTATATTTCTGAAGATATATCACCGGAAAATACTGAAAATTTGCTTCAGATAATAACCTCTTTAAAATACATTTATGCAAGTTTTATGTACAGTATGT